ATTGAATTGAAAAATGCACCAGCAAATAACGGAGACACATCTGGCGAAAATAAACACAAAGTTCAACAGAATTTATAAGACGGTCAATTGATAATGTTTCACCAGCACATTAGAAGAAAATGTTTAAAGTGATTTGATGTGAGTAATTCACCGCGAACTTTGAAGTGCGGGGCCACTATTCTCAGAATTCACCGCGAACCCCCAGACAACTTCGGACTCATGCTCGGACGTTTTGTGCGAGGTCGGTTTCCAGAAACCCATGCTGCCGATGCGGCTCTCCGCCTCCTTCACGGACTCGAAAAACGCCGACGTGTCAAACTCAGTTCTCGCCGGAGGATTTGTACCTCCGAGGCTCGAATAGGCGGTTTGGGTAGAAGGATTTTAGATCTCTCAGTCTCCATCTTCAAGAAAAGGAAGAACCCGACAAAGGTTGCAACCTAAGAAGCTCATAAAGAGGGCTGAATTTACAATGGTGTGTGAAATCGCCGTAAGAGGATTGTTGGTGGTGCTTGAAAGCAGAGAAAAATAAATGGGAGAAGATTTAGGGCTATTTGACGCGGAAGAAACGGAAGATGGCGTGCATATATGGTGTTTGAAGATTTAGGACGATATCTATCGTACAAGAAATCAATGTTAGGTGGGATTCTAATGGGAGATGGAGCAAAAACAACCGAAATTCCGGGAAAAGCAACAAGGTGAATTGCAATTACCAAAAAGCCAAATTTTAAATCAGACCCAAAAAACAATGAGAGTATTTTGATAAATTTAGTGCAACATACAATCGCAAACACAACTGTGAAAATCCAGTGGCGAAAATGTAATTAAGTGGGACACGTGTTGCATTTTTAAGGCCCGAAAATTGGACACGTGTCGCCATTAAAGACCATACACTTCTTTCATATATGTATAGTAGAGATATGCTGCCAGTCATCATTAACAAAAAAAATGGAGAGTTTTGAATTTTCTATTTGACCGTGTTTGTGTAGATGTGCGCATTTATTTCAAAAAACATTTACAAAAGGCTTACCACTGTATTATAAAGTTTTTAATTTGCAGATTGATCCCTACGCTATATCTAATTCTAACTAACAAGCCCCTAGCCCCAAATAATCAACCACAACCACACATTCACCCACCACCATCACACAGTCCATCGAATCAGTGGCAAAAATCGTACCGCTCCATTACCCGAAACCCGCCGCGTCAATGTGCTCCACCCGGTGTTCATTGGTGTCGTTCCGATGGGCCTGCGGCGGCCGCCCGCTTGGAGGCGCGAATATTCTCGTCGCTCATCCTCGAGCGGGAGAGCTGCACTTCTCAACGGCCGACTGGCTGAACAAAACATAAGACGACCTCAAGCTCCCCTTCTCACCGGAGACCGGAAAAATTCCCGACGTACCTCGATGCGCGTCAAAATTTGGGCTAAGGTCGGTGTTCGGCTGTTGGGTGGCAGTAGCGAGGAATGACAACGGAATGTGGCGGGTGAAAGTAGCGGCGGCGGGGGAGGTGGTGGGCCTACGTAGACGACGGACTGGTTTCCGCCGGAGTCTGCTTGGTTGTATTAGTCTCCGGCGATGTTGCGCGGCGGTGAGGGGAGGACGAGGCCGACGCCGGGAGAGAAGGTAGAAAGGACGCCGGGATTTGTGGCGGGCGGCCCGTCTGTGCAAGGGGGAAATGGATAGATGGCGAGAGAGAGAGATACGGCGGTGGTTGAAGGCGGCAGCGGACGGTGGCTGTTGGTGGCGGGGTGCATCTTCGGCGCACGCAGAAGCTAAAGAAAAAAAAATGGCAGATACGCTTTAGTGTGTGTGCGCGTGAGAGAGATGAAGGGAGAGAGATAGTAGAGAACGTGCAACAATTAGGTGGGGCCCACTGATTTTGTTATTTGGTGAAATTACACTACTGCCCTTCAGCGTGTTTATTTATCCATGATATAATGATATATTTACGATTTTTCCATTGATTAAAGGGTGTTGCTAAATACCGCACCCTTTTTTATTAAATACCGCACCTAAAAAAAACAGTTTTGCCCTTCTCAATTTTTATTTATTTATTTATTTTTCTGCTAGCCGGCCGCTAATTGCAGCTGCAACTCGCGCGGCCGGCCGCTAATAGCGGTCACCACTGGCTCGGCCGCACCGTTAATTGCTGCCGCAACAAGCGCGGCCGCACCGTAATTGCGGCCGCCTCTCGGCCAGCCGGCCCTTAATTGCGGCAGGCCCAATTTTTTTTTTTTTATAATTTAAATATTTTAAAAACTATATAATTTTTTAATATTACCAAATATTAAAGAAACCAATTAATAATTATTAAAGCAAGTTGCTACAATATTTATAGTCATTCCTTGCCTTTCATTGGACTTTCTCATCCAAAGTGGGATAATTGTAAATCAAATGTTTCAGTCTCCCAACCTTTTATAGCCACTTTTGGCCTTTATTATTGTGTTTATATCGGATTGTCCCATGTCTCTAGCCTTTTATAGTTACTTTTTACATTCTTTTTTGCTTTCAAAATCAATGTGGGACTAAATGATCCATACTTTAACACACTTTCACTATGTATGTCAACATGAATATCACATTATCATTAATTAAACTTATCATTATCTAAATGATTAAATTTAACTAAATGAACATGAAATATGGAAAAACATTATGGTTTTTACATAATAAAAGAAAATGCACTTATCATCCTACTTTCAGTTTTTTTATAAAGGATATAATTTATATATGTGTTAAATATTTAGAAAAATGTATAATTTATTATTATTATTATTATTAAATATGTTATTTATTAATAAATGTGTTATTTGTAATTAATATATATATATATATATTACTATATAATAGAGAGAAGAAAAAATATTTGAAAAATTATTTCATTTTACCGCTCAAATCACTTTTTTCCCTCTAATATTTTGTTTGAAAAATTTTCGAAAATTTGAATTTTTTTCATTCCGAAATTCAGTATGTTTTGGATGAGTTCAATATGTTTTGGATGAGATTCTTTCCATATCGGATAAATTCAAGTTCCTTTTCATTTAGAAAACATATTTTTATTTTAGCAATATATTTGACTTCCTTTTTTTTAACCGATTATATTGGCCTTCTGTTTAAAATTGATTTTTTTTTAATTAAAGAATGCACCAGTTTCCTAAACATGATAAAAACATATCACTTCAAATATTTTTTAAAATTGAGGATTCCAACTACTACGATTAATGTGATTAGTAATAACTGATTTTGTTAAATAATATCTTCATTGATTCACCCCAACACGTTTGATAGGTTGGTTCATGAGTCAGTTATGATGCATAAAATCACACAATAGTGGCTATTTAATATAAAACTATTTAGAATATAACAATTCAAAAATTGAGGATTCCATATAATGTAGGCTCAAAAGCTACGAATTGATTTATTCCAAACGAATTGATTTATTCCAAAAATTGAGGATTTCATATACTACAAATTGATTTATTCTACAAATAATTCACAACTTTACAGTTTAAATAATACAATATGTACATCATTTCCCTTAAAAATTTGATCAACCAACACGATTTTGATGATAATTTTTCAAATTGATCTGTATTCCTTTTGAATATCAGAAAGATTTTTGAACAAATATTAGTTAATAAAATTTAAAATTTGTAATTTAATTTTAGAGAATTAGTTGATAAATTTGAACAATAAGGTAACCGAAAAAAAATTTAAAAAATTGAGAGATAATATGTATAAAGAATTTATTGGGTAGTCTAAATTTGGTTTCCAAATTTAAAAGTCAAATAAATTATTCTTAATAACTTACGGGTTAGTATTAACTTGGACGTAAATAGAATAATCAATTATTTATAATTTAATAAATTATTCAACTACTTAATTTTTTTATTTAGATAGTTTATACAAAAATAAATTCAATTTAGTTATAGTTTTATAACTGTACTTATTATTCACATAGATGTTTAAATATTCATAATATTTTATCAAAATTATTATTTTATGGCATTACATTGTAGTTAAATTGAATTTCTGAATGAAAATTTTAAAATGACACTTATTTTGAAATTATATTGTAATATAGGTGAATTGTATTACAATTGATTCCATATTTTTAAGTTATAAATATTATTTAATGTATATTTTTAATTTATATATATTAATAAATATCTCCTACCCCTGCATGGCACATGATTCGTATTAATTAAAGAAAATAGAACCAAAATAAACAAATATTTAATTATTTATATAAGAACTAGAAAGATGTTACTATATGGTATCTAATCTCCCTAATAATATCTCCCACCGTGCATAGCACGGGAATCGTACTAGTATATATATATATATATACACTACAAGAATAATCATTATTAGCGACACTAATTTTAGTGACGACATTAATGTCATGACTATAAAATGATTATTGTGACGACATTCGAACATATAGCGACAAAAATTTTCGCCACTAAAAATGAATATTCTTGTAGTGATATTAGGGAAATTATAATTAGTATTGTAATATAAGTTGAAAAAAATGTATAATTTATTAATTAATTAGTTTGTATGATTATATAATGAAAAAATATTATTTTATTAATTAATATATTAATTACATTTTTATATTAAAAAAGTATATATTTTATAATATATTATATATATAATATATTAATTATAACTAATATATTATATTAGTTATAATTATAACTAACATATATACTTAAGTAAGTAACATATTTAATATATAATAATAAATTATATAATTTTTAAATTATTAAAACATATATAAATTATATTTTTTTATAATCAAATATTTATTTATTATATAAATTATATTAGAATTTAGATATTATGTTATAAATTAGAATTTATTATCCTATAGTTAGAATTTAGAAATTATTATATTATAAATTATAATTCATTATGTTATAGAATTTTATTATTATTATGTCAAAACTTAGAAATTATTAGGTTATATAACATAATACTAATTATCTCTAACAAATACTAATGACTGATGTTATTAAAAATTCTAGTCCCTTTTTTTCTTAAATCCGCTCCTTTTTAACTCGATAATAAAGTTTAAAATACAAAATAATATTCTTCATTAAATTTAAAATTCATAAATTATAAATTGAACGGAAAAAGTCGGATTCTGTTCGAGCAATTCATTGAGATCGATTAATTTAGTATGATTAGACCGAATTTTATGACAAGATTGTTTGACACTTTTCTCAGAGTTATATGATTCGTGTGAATATTATAATAGGAAAAGCATTCAAGCTCATGTTTAATTGAAGTAGTAGTGAAAATGTTTTGCTTCGTTTTATTTTTATCCATTTCCAAATGTTATGCCACAGTATAAATAAACAATTCAATAACAATCAACGCATATGTACTTCGTCTAAAGTCAATCACAAACATAAGTTAAAATTAACAATTCAATAACAATCAACGTATATGTATTTGGTCTAAAGTCAATCACAAACATAAGTTAAAATTAACAATTCAATAACAATCAACGTATATGTACTTGGTCTAAAGTCAATCACAAACATAAGTTAAAATTAACGTATAAACACGACCGAATATCATAATATATCGAGCGCCCCCGTCCTATCTTATTCGATCGAGTAAAACATTGATCCCATTGAAATATAAAGGAGCGTGCAACTGTCTGTAGCGTTGTCTATTGGGTCTTTCTCCTGAATCGCACTCAAAATTACTGTCGATTTTGCCTGAGCAGTAGTCATATCACGGACCATCTCTTTAGATGAAGCGCTAAGTCCACTTATCTTCTTTTTTTGTGTTTCGAGATGATCAATTTGAAACCATCTATTCTAATTCTATACCATAATAATTTTTAACTTCTAACATATTCTAATCTATAATACAATAATTTCTAACAACATTAACTAAATCTCCTACAACAGTGCATCTGTAACGTTCCCCTCGATGACACCTCATCACCTTATGTTTCTCTTCCTTTTCGTGTTTCGAGATGACCAATTCGAGCGCAATATAATTGTTATCTTTTGCCCATCTAATTTATAACATAATCAATTCTAATCTATAATACAATAATTTCTACCCACTAACAAAATAGTAATAAATTCTAATTCATAAGATAATCAATTCTAATATATAATACAATATTTTCTAACTTCTAACATAGTAGTAATAAATTCTAATTTATAAGATAATCAATTCCAATATATAATATAATAATTTAAAGTCATATAATTTTTTTAAACTAGTATCATTTCTAATTTATAATAATATAATTTATACTAACTAAGTAATTATACTAATAAAGTAATTATACTAATATCATTTTTTAACTGTATTTGTTGTTAGTTCATTTTTTTTCTATTATAATTAATTATATCTTATACTATTATAATTTATAATAATTAAACTAATTAATAATATAATTTTTTATATACTAATATAATTTATTTAATTATTAATTTTTTAATTTATTATAAAATATATAATAATATATATGAAAATATTTAAATATATTTTTTATATTTCAATATTTTTTAATTAACAAAAATGAAAACCACGAAAATTTAAAAAAAATACAAATTAATTTATATGTACAAATAGTTAGAAATGCAATTAGAATTCATTATTATTTTGTTAGAGGTTAGAAATTATTGTATTATAGATTAAAATTGGTTATGTTATAAATTAGAATTTATTACTATTATGTTAGAAGTTAGAAATTATTATGGTATATATTAGAATATATTACAATTTTCATGTTCATTTAGTTAAATTTAATCATTTATCAGTTTAAGATAGTAATAAGTTTAATTAATGATAATGTGATATTCATCTTGACATACATAGTGAAAGTGTGTTAAAGCATGGATCATTTAGTCCCACATTGATTTTGAAAGCAAAAAAAGATGGCCAAGAGTGGCTATAAAACATCGATTACAAACACAATAATAAAGGGCAAGAGTGGCTATAAAAGGTTGGGAGATGAAAACTTTGATTTGCAATTATCCCACGAATGAGACAGTTCAATGTAAGGCAATGAATACTATATATGTTGTAGCAACTTGCTTTAATAACTATTAATCGGTTTCTCTAATAATTAATAGTAGTAAAAAATTATATATTTTTTTAAATATTTAATTGATTTTTTTTTTTTTTTAAAATGGGCCGGCCGCGCGCGGTCGAGCGAGTTGCGGCCGCGTGCGGCTGGCCGAGTTGCAGCTGCAATCAGCATTCGGCTGGTCGAGTTGCAGCCGCAATCAGCGACCGACCGATTCTAAAAAAAATAAAATTAAAATGCTGGCTCCAGTCCGGCCGGCCGCCGCATGACCGGTCTTGTTGGATAGCATTTTTTTCGTCGAAATTATTTGGAGGTGTTTCCGAAAATTTTCAGTGCTCGGTTCAGCCGATAAATAGGTTAGAAGGTGGGACATTATTTTTTTTAAAAAAAATAAGAATAAAGGGTAAAACTGTCATTTTAGGGTGCAGTATTAGTAAAATGGGTGCAGTATATAGCAATTGAGTTAATTAAATGACCATTGTTATTAAATTTTGACTTCATCATGTCCATTGATCGTACCGATTCAATGGTACATGATCATTCTTATTTCTTTCACTATCTACCATTCTCACATGATCCCAACTTTATATATATATATATATATATATATATATATATATAAAATAATTCTCACATCCCAACTTTATATATATATACTAGAAGGCTACGGCTGTGCAATGCACAGCCGGCCCAAGTCAGGCATACATTTGATGTTTATTAAAATTTGAAGGGAATATAAAAATAATGGAAGGACGATTACATTAGTGAATTAGAAATTCACAACACATGAGCAGCAAAAGAGTTACAGTATCTATTAAGTGACAACAAAATATACCAAGTTTGCACCAGAATTTAAAAGCATCTATACGTAAACAGATGCTTAGAATTCTGGGCAATATAATTGGTAGACACAAAAGTTTAGTTTCTGTGGCATGCATGCCAATAAGAAGTTACAAAAAAGGCAGCAACATCCATATGTGAGTAGATGGCTAAAAGAGTTATCAATGTAGTTACAAAGCACAAAAGATATGGTCCATAGAATTTGTGATTCCCAAAAGTGAACATGCAGTCATATAGAAGTTAGTCCATTTTTGGACGACTTTTCTTTGTCGGGGTTGTATCACATGCCGGGGTGGTTTGCTGAGCTGTTTGGGTGGATGTTTCAGGAATTTGTGTGAATGGGGTGTTGCTTCCTATGGTGGAGGATTGTTGGTTGTCGAAGTTGATGCGTTTTTTGACTGCCGGTTCCGAAGATGCAAGTGGTGCAGGTTTTTCGCGTGCTGGAGTGAGGGAGGTCAGAACGTTTTTGAGTGTTGGACTGAAGAGCACTTTGTCTGGTACCTGTTTCGTGAATGTAGATTAGTTGCAGTAAGATGTTTGTTAAGTAATAATTTTATAGTTTTTTTATATATGTCATAGTTGATATTATACCTTGATTGAAGCTGAGGCTGATGCTTGTTCTACCAGGTGCTTAGGTTCGAGGAAATTTTTGTCTGCTTGCATGGCATCAACTGTATAAAGCTTTAGGACGGTGTGGTGAGTCGATTCGTAGTGTTTGATGAAGCAAACCACACGATGTTCATTCATTGCTACTGTAATTTGACCTGTCAAATCTACCCCCTGCAGTTAACAGGGAAAATATATTTTACAATAGTAAAAATAGAAGATGGCAGATATTTTAAGCAGTTCAGGTGGGCAGAGGGCACATTACAGTTATAAAGGGTTGAAAACGATAACCAAAGCAATTGAATTGATTATGGATGCATAAATGAACACTTGATATTAGCAAATTATCTGCAATTTTTTTTTTCTTTTTTTGTTTCTGTATAAATTAATGCAAATGAAGATGTAAAATAACCTGCTGTTCGGCTTCAAATAAGTCAGTCCCATTAAATGGAATTACTCGCTCAGCATCTGAATCATACAACATTGCATGTATGTTTCCGGTTGCGTCTTCAATTGCAACTGGCAATCGACACTAATTGTCATGAATGAAACAATATGCAATGTATATTAGTTTGAGGCAAATATAGTTAACCAAAATAGGTTATGAAATTGTAATGAACATAGAAGGTTTGGAATCACTCATGTATCCATTATTTGGCACCAGAAATGCTAGGACCATTTGTATCTATAACAAGATAAATAGATAATATTAGTAGAAGATAATTCAGGAAGATTAATAATACTATATAGTAATTATGTGCTGGAGCATGGAGATTTAGAATAATTCAATTATGTTGGTTGTGTGCCCTGTAGAAATAAATAGGAATAGCAGGATCTCAGATAGCTTCAAGGACCAAGAAACTTTTATTTGGAAATAAGCCCAAAACTGTATAATTGCATACCTACATAGTGATTTTATTTTGTTCATAAAAGTTGGAGTTATCTATTGATTAATTCAAACCTTGCTTGAACAAGGGTATCTTCCCTGCAACTGCGACATTTCACTGGTGTATTTGGAGGAACATCGTAATTTTTGCGGCAATTGTTGCAAGTAGCTGTCCATAAAGATCTTTTGTTCCCTAAATATTTTAGCTTGCCAGCGACCCAACAAGTTTTAGTCTAGCTAAGAAATGATTAAGTCAGTGAGTGAATTTTTTAAATGTTGAACTTATGGTGCTGAATATATTATTTGATTTGTATAAGTGTAACACAGTGTAGCTTACGTATCTGATTGAGGCAGCTGCGCGTTGTATAGTGATTATATCAGTGTTAGATGGGTATGGAAACAATCGGTCTGTGTCTTTATACACGTCTTCCTCCACAAGCTTTGCAACATCAGTTTTCTTTTCAGTGTACCTATTAAAGAGTATGTGAGACGCACTAAAGAGATATGTTGTAATGGTACAATGACTTTATTAGAAATTAATCAATGCGTACCACTGCTTCAATCTGTCAGTAGCCGGTATCGGTGGATTTATCATCAAGCAAGTTCCTGTCTTAGTCGATAAGGACAGTCCTTTATGAGGGCAATTGTGTTAGTGAGACATGAACAAACAATTATTTTTTATGTATAAAACTAAACTGCGGTATAGAATACCATTAAATGTCGTAACTCTTGCTCTCATGCATAAAACTATGTTCCCAGTTGCGACTGTGCTAGCCAAGTGTTCACCCACATCATCTTCTGTTTCAAATTGGTTCCAGAGAGTCAAAAGGATTGGCTTTTCCCTGTGGAACAAAGATATATAAGTATAATTGATATATTTACAAAATTTGATGATGTAGAATAAAATGCTTACTCTTCATTCACAATGACCAGGTCTCGTGCTATATTTTTTTGCCCAAGACTCTTCACCGGAGAAGCATGTACAATAACACCAAGCAGGTCTAGTAAAGTTTAAATGCAATAGTGTTAATTGGTGTGTTGTTTAAGAAAATGATGCAGTAATTTCAAAGAAACAAAGATTTTTTATTTTAAGCAATTGAACTTACTTCTGGGATTTTCTGTATCAGCATATCTGTGCAAATCCTCAAACGCGTGAATTTCGATTTGGCATGGAAGTGGAGGAGGCACCTCTTCTTCAAACTCCTCAACTAAAGTCTTTTTATGCAGGAGCCAATTGAATTCGTACGGGCCAACTTGGTACAGCGGGGTTTCTAGCCGCACCTTTGCTCCGGTAAGGTATTATCGCTTGTACGGAAGTAAAAGGCCATCAAATTCCTCCATGGCTGCTTTATAAACAACAGCAGCTACTTTGGTACCCTGTTATGTGAGAATAATGAATTTATTATAAATTTATTTGAGGTTTGTTTTGAAAGTAAATTAATACACAAAAGCATAAGGCATTTACAAACCTCTCCATCAGTGAATAAGTATCTTCGATAGAGCACCTGCGGATTACTTTTGCTTGTTTGAATCGGCGCTCTTTCAACGACTTGAATGAACGCAGTCCAGTGGCGTGTTTCATCAGTGATTTGGCTAATGGGCAAATAGGTCCTCGGCATAATCACCTGTATTTATTGATAAGATAATATTAGAAATTTGTAAAATAGTAGAGTTTTTGTAAATTGGTCTTTAGTAAAGTAAACATTTTTTTTTTTTAACATAAGAATGTAAATATTCAGTACATTGTGTAGCGGAAGCTGCTTCTAGCACTTCATTGTAAACAATATTTTTTGTAGCATAAATATTTTGGGGATCAAAAAAAGGTGGTTTAATAACAAATCTAACTGCCGATGAGAGTTTTGCGCGCGATAGGGCTACATAAAGTTGACCATGTGAAAAGACTGGTTCTTTTAAATAAACACCAACTGAATCCAATGTCTGTCCTTGGGCTTTATTAATTGTCATAGCGAAACATAATCGAACAGGGAATTGAATTCTTTTGTAAGGGACAGAAAGTTGGTCATCACTTGAAGGTTTTAATGGAATTCTATGTATGAATACATTTTTCCCTTTGAATTCTCCTACAGGGATTTCTGCATGAATAATGTTTCGGCTTAATTTCTTACAAATAAGTCGCGTTCCGTTGCATAATCCTTCTGTTGGGTCTAAATTCCTGAGTAATATGATAGGAGCATTTACTTTTAACTGTAGTTTATGTGGAGGCATACCACCAGGTGTTAAAGAATTGATAATGTCTTCATACAGGCCTTTATGAATGGGGTTGATTACTTCATCAAAACTAAGATACTCAACTAATTGTCCAGGGAAATCTTTAATGAGTTTGTTATTTATTTCATCAACAAAATTGTTTTTTGTAGCTAATATTGCTCTATTCATAGGGAAACTGGGCTGGTTATCTTGGTTTTCTTGAGTATAGATAGTTTTTTGCAGTGAAGTGCTGTAAATTTCAGGATATATTGAAGTTATTAATTCTTGTAAGGCAGCTTCAGAATCTGTGTTTTTTATTACAAGCGAAGCAGGTAAGTGAATTGTATTGTTTTCATGTGTTGGCTCTATTCCATTTCCTATTCTTAATAAGTATTCAGTAAAAGAGGGATCATATCGTGCTCTCATATTTTCTTTGAGTTCAATTTTTTCAAGCAATGGCCAAATATAAGAATTCGTGATGCTTGCATTTATTGTATCTTTTTTATTTCCTTTTCGTACAACTGGTAAAATTTGTCTAAAATCACCACCGAAAATGATAACCTTACCACCAAAAGGTTCATTTGAATCTGTTAAGTCTTTTAATAAGGTATCGAGCGACTCTATTGATGATTTCTTAGCCATTGGTGCTTCATCCCACACAATTAGTTTACTTTCACGTATTAAGTCAACTAAATTACTTTGTTTACTAATTTTACATGTTTTTCCCTTTGACAGATCTATAGGAATTTTAAACCTTGAATGAGCTGTTCTCCACCGGGCAAAATTGAAGCGGCAATGCCAGAAGTTGCAGTTGCCAAGGCTATATATCCTTTAGATCTAAGGTCAGCCAGTAAAGCTCTATAAAGGAAAGTCTTGCCTGTTCCTCCAGGGCCATCAATAAAGAAAGCACCTGGTTTTCCACTATAAACACGTTGTTGTATTAGAGTGAAAGCGTTTTTCTGGTCTTTATTAAGTGAGAGAATAGTATTTAAGTCTTCTTGGGTAACCACGATGTTTTTCTCTACTGTTATTTCTCTATTGTTTTCTCCAATGTCAATAGGTATGTCAGGAGGTATTATGTTGAATGCATGGATATTTTTTCCCATTGATTCTAGAAAACCATTTATTTGTTCTAAGACTTTTCTCTTAACATCTATTTTATTTAAATTTGAATGCCTTGTGAAATCCTCGGACATAGAAGGTTCGAATTTTTGAAATAGATCGGCTGGATTGTTAGGACATGAATAAACAAGTAAATTTGCAAAAAGGCGTCTCATTTCATATGGCGTTTTAAAAAGTGATGCTTCTTCTAAGCATAATTCTTGGGTGTTATCATCTTGAAGCAAGCCTCTTGCAAGGGCAGCTTCACGATATGATTTAGTAACTTTTTTATTAAACGTCCTAATATCTTTGTAAGATTTTGGGGCTCTAATGTGCAGAAGTAGAAGTTTAAGGTAATATCTTTCACCTTCATTTGGATGCACAGTAACTATTCTGGCTATTGAATCCTTTTCTGCTCGTTTTTTCCATCTTTTCTCTTCTGTTAGCCATACAAAGTGTTCTGGGAATTCTAAGTAAGTCAAATTTAATTTTTTTGCATTTGGGTCTGTTTTACTCATGAAAAAGAATTCTGTGAGCATAGTTCTATGGTTTCGTGGATTATTTACAATTCTGTCTAATCTTTCCCCTTTTTTGTAATTGATTGTTTGATAATTTTCTAAATGCACTGGCAAATTAATAACAGCTGGTTTTGTTTCGCTAATTGGGAATCTATATATCCTCCATGCAGCTTCAGGCGGAGAAACCCAACGGGCTGTCCTAAATTGTTCTATCTCGTCAATTTGCACATTTTGATTCGATGTATCTATATGGAAGGCAATTTTGTCATGGCCTTTACAAATATATTTATAAATATATTTCACAGCTCGTATAGAAGAACAAATTTCTACATTTATATGACAATTAAACTTTGCAAGTAAGTACGGGCTATAAGGCACGACCCATCTATTATCTAATTTACAGCCTCGTACTTTTATTTGCACATTATTATCTCGCCTTTGATATTTTGGATATGAATTATTAACTTGAATAGTTGTCTCTGAAAATTGTTTTGGATAATTAAATCTACACTTATTTTTTGAATTCATGCATGAATTAGTTGGATGTAAATCTCCACATGGCCCATGCATCATATGTTTTTTGACCATATTATATAAATGTGGATTTAATGTTTTTTCTGGTATATCAGCACTGACAATTTTGTCAAATTCTTCAGGCCTATATAATTTATCTTTGCTTGCTAGGATTATCAACATGTGGGCATGTGGTAACCCTCTTTTTTGAAATTCTATTACGTATGTATATGCTACTATTTCTCCGAAGATATTTTTTTTTAGAATATCCTTTTTGAGCTCTTCAAATTTTCTGCGGAAGACTCTAGCCACTAAATCAGGTCTATTCTGCGACTCCTCGTTTTGTTTTAAAAGTTCTTTAATTTCAGGCCAGTTCGGATTACATGTCATAGTTAAAAAAATGTCAGGCTTTCCAAATCTTTGTACTAATGTCATTGCATCTAAATATCTCTTTTTCATATTTCTTGGGCCACCTATAAAACTGGCCGGCAAAAATACGCTGTCCAATTTTGGACGCATTTGTTTCTCCTGCTGCTATACAATCTTGTATGCCTTGTAAGAATTCTTGTCTTATTTCAGTTTGTTGTTTTCTGAAAAAGTCTAACCTCTGGGACTCAATTTTCACATACATATCCACTATATATTGTTGAAATAATCTACCAAAATTTAATAAGCATGACTCATCATTTTCTCTTATCTGTAATTTGTATGCATAATAGTCCCTCATTGAAACAAAATTCCGACTCGATGCTGACCCAATGTTAGCTGGAAAGATAAGACATTATTTGTGAGTAGTTGTCATATATGTCAATAGGGTTTTGTTTAAAATCAATAACTGGCAATCTGTAAACACAACGAAAAATATTAGGATAAGGTATTTTATTTATTAACTTACCATCTTCTGCTTGGATTAGTTCTTCAGCTGATTTCATATGAGAAGGTGTAATTGCACGCACCGATGTTAGTGGCTGCTTTTTTTTTTTTTGAAGTTGCACCGCTTAATTTTTCAATACCTCGGTGCCAACCAAGTTCACCGAATGGAAAAAGCAATGGATATTGCAATGGATCATAACAACCAAAATAATATTGTATTCTATGTGACAAGCCAGTATGATTATACACTCTTATGTTTCTTTCAGATGTTTCTTCACTATCTTCGCCCTCTACCCATATTGCAGCTACTTGAGATGCTTCTGGCTTATTATAAACTCTTTGATCAATTTTTGGTATAGTCTTTAGTATTATTTCATATTCAGCTAAATTATCTATCTCATTTAGGCTTCTAAAAAACTGTGCATATGGATTGCTCCTTAAAACACTCAGTATTTATTCAATTATAGATTCTGTTAATCTAGGGCAAGCCTTTAATCGATTTGCAATTTCATTTTCAGTGTCATGAAAATATAACTACAAATTTTGAGATGACTTTAAATCATCTAAGAAGTGGTACAGTTGCCCTTGTATCTTAAATGTGTAAATCCCTTTATTGCGTTTACTTAAATTTTCATCACATTTGACCCCTAAAGATGTAAATGCAAATTGGTTGATAGTTCTAATACAATCTCGGAAAAGTTTAGATTCCTCATTTGTGGAGAAAAGTAAATCTTTTATGACATTTGGCAAAGAGTTATTTGCTAATACGATTCTACCATTGGAACAGCAAAATGCACTTGTTTCATATGGAAATTTAATAGCATTACAATAACAACATTTTTTGGTAGGTGGGAAAATAAAAGGCTCAGTTGCTATGTTATCCAAAATAATATCAGTACAAAAGGGTTGACTTTGATAAGCAAATGTATTTTCCAAACATGAGGGGTGGGCCTCTTTTTTTGCCTTCCACCTTTGAATAGCATTCTGCTTATATCCTTTGTTAGGAAGGTCCACAGTACAACTCGACATTTGCAAAATTGTTTTGTTTCTTTTATTGGCTATTGCAGAATTTATTGGTTTATCTATCTTGCTTATAGTAGGCCCCAGCCTATTCATTTGATGTTCATTGATGTTTTTGTTTGTTTGAGTAGAAATTAAATTTAAAGAAGTATTTGCTGAGTTTTGTCGAAACGTACTCGCATGCTCGGCTTCGTTGGAGATATTCTTCATTATTAAAATTCTGCCTTTTTTTGTTTTGTTTTTCCATTTTTCAATGGCATATTGACGATATCTTTCTTAGAGTTTGGAATTACGTTCAGGTACTGCCAATTTTCCGACAATGCCTTATTCCTATTAGACATTTATTGCACTAAATTGTGTAGCTTTTAAATATAACAAAACCAAGTTTAAAAATTTAGAGTAGCTCAGAAAACCAAACCAGTTATATATGTTTATAATGTCTTAGCTGATAAACTTATGATAACAGAAGGACACAGTTTTTTTTTTTAATATTTGTTTTTATTGGTAATATTTAACCTAGACACTTGAGCCAATGTTGTTTGATTTAGCCTATCTTAATTTTACCATACAAACTGTAGGTTGAACAGTGACCTAATACATCGGAGCCGCACAATGTACAGAAACACAAAGAGCGAAGGAACTATGAATAACCAGCAACTCAGTAAATTTGGCTAAATAAACAGGAAAAACAGAGAAATCTTATCTACATAACAAACAGACACCTAGGATTAATGCGTAAAGTGCAAAAGCACGCAAGCAATAACTAACAGGGTAATAGTGAAGCTAAAGCTAAACACAGCAGAAAGCAAACGAAAAATAGTTAATAAGCAATTCGTACGAAAGGAAGCTAACCTGATAGCAACCAACAAACACTTTCTTATTCTTTCTGGCTTAGAGAATTCAAACAGTTTGGACAGCAGTTCGACACAATAATAAAGTGACCTACATATTTAAATTTATGAATAAATAAGCTAAGAAGCAAAATATCACCATATAAATAAATAGCATGCATGAAAATTTGATGCATATACATATATTAACACAAAGAATAGGCCATGAACCAACAGACAAGCATAACACATGGCCGTAATCAGAAGTTTCTTATTAACACTATGTTTTTTGAAATCTGTAAAGCTACTAAATTTAACAGCAAACAATAAATATATGTCCTCCGATTACCTGGTATATCAACCTTTTGATATAATGAACAGCGACGGTAGATCTTGAAGGCAGTAAAAGCAGCACCAGCTTTTTAACACACAAGAAAATGAAAAACAGTAATTAGATTGTAAAAAAATGAAAGACTAAAAGTTTTTTTATAAAATTTAAGGAAAAAAAATTCTCCAAATAGAACATAGGCAATCTTCGTCAACAATGACAACTAAATTCAAGTTTATACAATCATAACGACGTTGCGAACTTGATGCAATACAAACAGGCTCTGTACTAATCTAAAACAGAAGGTACAGCGCAAGAGAAATTTCGCATATGTGCAAAACAACAGCTAATGAACTGACACTAAAAACCGAATAAAGAAGCAAATACAATAGGTACAGATCATTTCTATTTTACAATATGTAACTTAAAGCAATATATTAATAATTAATGAAAAACAAAAGACCACATATTTCAACTATGCAGAAACCAACACAAAGGTGTTTTGTTCTTTCTTTGGGCACAAAACTTCCTATTACTGTAGAAAAACACTTTCTTTTTTATTGTACAGCCTTCCACCAAAATAGATACTTTAGTATTTTCATGTTGAGAAAAGCAAATATACTTCATCTTGCTTTAAACTGACAACAACACGGTTTGTTTTCTTGGTTAGAGAATACGCAAAAAAACCAAACAGTCGACAATAGTAAGCGAATATTCCATATAGAACATATAAATGAGTAATCTGATATCATCTGCATTTCATTTTTCTTTAAGGCAAAATGTTTGGAATAGTTGGAGAAGAAGCTACTTGAAGATACCTGTGGTAGAAGTGAGATGTTTACTTTTTTCTTTGGCAAAGTAAAATGATGTTACTTATATATATAATGGCAGCTTCACCAAGACCGATGCCTAATATTATATTGTTAGTGGAGCTATATCAAATGAGAAACCTTTTTAAAAATATTAAATTTTCTCAAACAAAACGTCTTACACACATATTGTACCGAAAAAAGTCTAAAAAATCAATCCAAAAGCTGCAAGCAAATAATTCTCATTACATCGGCCAGATACTTTGTAATGATTTCCATCAATTACCCCATACAATAAAGGGTTGCATATACACTACAGAATATGAACAGAAGCTGAGAAAGCATTTTTCTTCATCATTTACCTATTTACCTATCTTCTCAGTTCAAGTAAAAAAAAAATTAAATTGGCATATATAATAGCACGGCAACTATCACAAAAGAGCCCATAAGTCCCAAAAAGACCAATAAAATCAAAAAATTGCGAAACAATTGAGAATTGAGCTTCCCTGGTTTGCATGTCCAGCAAATCGATTGGGGAAGGCATTGCGTGAGAGCGTTTGACGCGCCGCACCAGCTTTTCTTTCCTCCGTAAAAAGACCCATTAAACCTAGTTGCACGAACGAAACACAAAAAAGAAAAGAGATTAAACTTTTTGGGTTAATTTCGTAGCCAAACGATGCAAAATACATTAAAATTTTATTCGCACAAACCCTAAAACAATAGAAAGCAGGGTAGCGCACATCTATTTTGAAATTATTTATCCTAAATTGACGCAGCGAAAGGCGAAAAGAAGATGAACTCTGTTTTACAATTTCCGCAGTATAGGCGAAAAAAAAACGGATTAAGAATGACTGATCGAGGAGGACGACGGTATCGAAAAATCATTCTGGCCCCAAAATTAGATGTGAAAAAACCAGCAAAACACTAAGCGACAAATAACCTCAGACTGCAATAAACGACATCGCTTCAAAAATAACAAAAACGACGTCGTTTCGAAACAAATGAACATAAGCTCTTAAATTCTTGCGCCACGTGTCGACCGAAGGAGCTCATATCTTCTTTTTATATATGAGTAATATAATAGATAAAATTATATGCACGAATGCTAGTTTAAATAAATCCTCATTCATTTGAGTGTAGCGTGTCTGATTTATTTATATTATTTCTTATAGGGTCGAAGGTTTAAGCAAAGTTCTAGTTCTGTCGTGAGTAGCGCACAGAATAGAACACTGCACAGAGCAAATGATGAAGGTGAGTTATGCCTTTTCTTATGGCGATTTCTATATTCTTCCCCAGTTCGCCATGAATCAGGTAAATCCCTCTGCTGCTCTCAATCCTCGCTACTTTCTCGTTGTTTTTGTACAAAAGGAGCTGTTGCTAAATTCAATTTCCGCGAAGAAATTAAGAACATTAATGGGTTGGATGATGCTCTTTGCTTGTATGAGAACATGTCGAGAACGAGGCCTCTACCGAGTACTGTTCAGTTTAATCAATTGCTCTCGCGTGTGGTCAGTCTGAAAGAGTACTCTGCTGCTATTAACCTTTTCAAAGACATCTGCAGTTTAGGGGTTTCAGTCAATGAATACACCATGACTGTTGCTATCAACAGCTTTTGCCTTGCGGGCCGGGTCGATTATGGGTTCTCCGTTCTGGGTTGGTTCTTCAAGCGGGGCTGTTCTGCGAATGAATATACCTTCGGCACCTTACTGAAAGGCCTGTTTCGAGAGAAGAGGATTAACGAAGCACAAGAGTTGTTAAGGAAGATGGTTGGAGAAAGGGCTTTGTGAGCTAGACATTGTAAATTGTGGTACTGTGGTCGACGGGCTTTGCAAGGTTGGTAACACCTCAATGGCTGTTGAATTCCTCAGAACAATGGAAAAAGGGACACTGAAGCCCAATGCATATATATATAACATTGTTATTGACGGCTTATGTAAGGATAGAATGATAGACTCAGCCTTGGCGCTTTTCAACGAAATGCCCGAGAAGGGCATCCGGCCGGATATTGTCACTTACTGTTCTTTGATCGATGGTTTGTGTAATTTCAGCCGTTGGGAGGAAGTAAAAAAGCTGATGAAGGAGATGGTGTTCTTCAAGATATATCCGAATGCGGTCACGTTCGCCATCTTGATTGATGCTTTATGTAAGGAAGGAATGGTGGATGAAGCAGAAGATGTAATCGGAATCATGAAGCAGCAGCATGTAATTCCAAATGTCACCTGTTACACTGCATTAATGAGCGGATATTGTCTTCAAGGGCGTATGGATGAAGCAAAGAATGTTTTTGATTCAATGGGTAGTAGCAAGAATTGTGCTCCTAATGTTATTAGCTGTAATATATTAATCAATGGCTATTGTAGAAGTATGAAGATGGACGACGCCATGGTTATCTTCCGCGAGATGCCTCGTAAAGGGATCAAGCCTGATGTGGCCACGTATACCACTATACTGGGGGGTTCCTTTCGTGTGGGCAAATGCCGCGTAGCGCTTGATGTTTTTCATGAGATGCAAGCTGTCGGACTAAAACCTAACTTCTATACGTACTGTAATATGTTGGATGGATTATGTAGGAATGGGCAAGTCGAGCGGGCTTTACTGTTGTTCGAAGCATTAGAGCGCAAGGGACAGCATCTTCATAGTGAGTACTATACCATCATCATGGATGATTTGATCAGATCCGGTAAGCTCAATGCGGGTCGAGCTATTTTTGGAGATATGGTTTCGAAGGGATTGGAATGTAATGTGGTGACCTACACTGTTTTGATTAAAGGATGTTGTCGAAATGGGCTATTAGAAGAAGCTAAGGATCTTCTTTTCAAAATGGGACAATCAGGTTTGTCTCCGAATGAGGTTACTTATAACGCTATTGTCCAAGGAAACCTAGCAGGTGGCCGATATGATGATGCTGAAGTGTTTCTTGAGGAGATGGTTGCCAAAGGATTCTTGCTAGATTTAAAAACATTTGAGATGCTACTTAGTTTATTTGGCTCGAAGGAAAAGAATCCCAAAATATTCAAAATTATTCAGAAGCTGGCGCCAAACAGTTTAAAACAAAAATTTGGAGCTGAGTAGATTATTCGGAAAAAGGTAATAATATTATATGTTCCCTTGATTTACCAAAATAAATGATTGGTCTATGTTATAGCAATCAGATCATGCTGAGAACTGGCATCACGCGGTTCGATCAAAGTGGTTGTGTAAGAAGTTATGGTCCTTTTGGAGAACTTGACCAACCACCTTAAGAACTGCCATTATAGAGTTCGATCAAAGTGGTTGTGTAAGAAGTTATGGTCCTTTTGGAGAACTTGACCAACCACCTTAAGAACTGTCATTATAGAGTTCGATCAAAGTGGTTGAGTCTCGAGTCTGGACATGTTAAATTAAAGAAATCATTCAAAAAACAAAGTCATGCAGCTTACTCTAGTCTATTTGCACATTGCTTTATGTTGGCATAAGTTATTCACCATGTATTTGTTCAGCATAGGCTTATTGCTTGAACGAGCAACTTATTTTATTTGATGAACATAATCACCAAGGTAAATGTACAGTGTAGATGAAATGCTTGGAAATTATTGATTTGTGCTTTAAGTCAGTTCATAAATTTACTCAGGGTTGATCACCATCAGTGCCGACACCTTTTGGGGATGTCTTGTCTTTTGACTAAATAGGATGAGTCTTATTTTTATTTTATTCTTCACGCCCAGGATTACGACCCGGATCATTAGATAGGAATCCAAAGATAAAGAGAGAAACAAAAAATCATAATTGCTTAAACCATCAAAGTAACATGTGTGATGTATTTTATTGATATGTGCTAGTGAATTTAGAAACCAATGACTATTGTTGTATTTTATTGACTTCATATTATCTTTTTTACTTTCACTATAAAAAATAACAATTCTTAACTATAGTCTATATCACATTTTTGCATATTAGTTATGTTAAAAATAAGCTAATAATAGAAGGTAAAATGGCTAGGAAACCTCCACGTCCAACAGACGTAGTAACTACTACTCCGTAACTAGGATCCAACGGGGAAAGTAATGCCAAGTCATGCTAACGTAGCTGTTTATGGGGCCATATTTCATCGAGTGACGTGGCAATAAACCAGCCAATAGATGGGCGAGTATGAAATATGGCCCCATAAACAGTTTGTAACACTCCCTCTGCTTCTGTAGTCGTTTGCCACATCGAAAAATATTTAATTTGCCAAGTTTTATACGTTACAACGTTAAAAGAAAGGAAAACACTGTGACGTTAGATGAACTTTCTAATCTCTATTCACCTCCCATCTAAGATTTCGATTATATTAAGGGGTTTATTTAATGTATTTGGATTTGCTTGGAGTTCTTGGAATATATCCAGGGATAACTATTTCAGTATTGTGAAATTCTCCTTTGCTCTCAGAATTTACCATGACACACTTTCTTTCCAGGCTCACCCGTACACCTTCCTGAATGAGAGTCAGTTCTTGCGCTTTCGACTACAGCCTACGCAGGTTCATCCGTGCACCTTCCGGAATGAAAATCAGGTCTGCACTTCAACTTCACCCAAGGCCAGTATAAATAGTGCAATTACTGGTTAAACAAGATTGGAGTTGATGAGCTCATTATGGACTTCATGGCCAGCCTCCATCAGTATCAAGATGGAAGCACCACTGCTCGTCCGAGGAGAAAGTCGCATTAAATGGCATATTTCGATCGTCAATCGGAGCTCCCAGATATTCGGACGTGCAGCGGAGCCGTTGATATTTCAAGAGGCGATTCTTGGCGCCTCGATTGTCCAAAAATTAATCGGTGATATCTGGTATTTTCCCTATCTTAATAAGCTACAATACCCGTTATCAATTTTTAATTCTGAGTTCATGTTCGTCATTAGTTGGAGCTCAATGTTTTAATTCGATTTGTCTTCTGAAAAATTAAATATCCCGAGCCTCGATTATACAAAATTAATCTGAGTTATTTTTTTGTTCTTCTTTTCATTGGTTAAATAGTTCTTTATCAATTTTGAAGTTAATTTCATGTTTTTCATTGATTGGAGCTCAAACAAGTGCGGGTTTCTTTTGAATTTTTCTGTAATTTTGTCCATGAAAAAATTTCAATATCCCGGAGTATTAATCATCCATAATTGACCCGAGGTTTTGTTTTGTACTCTTTTCATGGGCTACAATAGTCAAATCTTGGTTCATAATTGTGGTTAATTAAGCTCTCATTTCTGTATTTGTTTTTTTTTTTCCTTTTTTCTTATATTTTTTCGGTCAATGTTGCAACTTATGGTGGCTTTGACGAGTAAAGATTATCGGCTGTTAGCTTTTAGAAATATTGATTACCAAAATTGATTAACTTAGGAGTATAGAGTATCCCAAAAAAAAAAAGTGGTAACAGTGAGAAGTGACCTTCTACGGTCATATACTCTTCGTATATACCTAACATTAGGTAACCTCTACTCAACTTCTCAAGTATGCGCACATTAAGACCACGAGAGCTGAGCGAGTGCCATCCACAAATACTGTAATAGGACGACACTCTGCACAAGAGAAGGCAAGCCCTCGACTTTATTTATGAGAAGCAAATAGTGCACGCGTTTTTTGCTGAGGTTCAAGAGAGATATGGAGACAGGGAGAGAGGATATACGACACGCTTCCCGATAACGGAGGTACGTCCGTTTTTCCATCCATGTCGTTCATCAAACACCAAAACGTTCCTCTCCTTGCCGTCAACATGAACTGTCTCTCTGGGAAGCGAGCATGAATTAGAGCGAGAGACTAAATGGAAACTCTTGATTCAATAAAGTATTGATTTGGTGCATAAACGCGTTTCTTGAGTTAGTGCACACAAACAAAATAAGGTAGACATGTCCCTCAATCAATTTTGAACACATTAATGAGATTGATCAGACAAATTGACAGTCGTTCAATGCAAGACAGGGAGATCGGATTGTAAAAATGTGACATAGGTTGTATACATGTTTGGTGACTGAAAACTGATTTGAACTCAACATTCAAGAATTAGGCCGACCAAAATGTACAAAAAATTGTAACTACTATATTAAAGATAAATATGAAGGATAAATATGTTAAAGTTGCATTTATGTTCTTATAAAGTATCAAACTAAGGACTTTTCGGCTATGGTTGTGTTACCAAATGGCTAAACATTTAATAATTTTGATAAACTTACCATTTGCATGTTTCAATGATGTAGGAATATTATTTATTTTAACTTTTTAAAGAATTTTTAGAGGTAAACGACGAAGTTATCTTAAGCTCAACCCACTGTTGTGGACAAAACCCAGACCTGATTTTATATATTCGGATATATGTTGTGATTAAAAGTCCATGGGCAAGGGGAATTCACCTAAATTTACTTTAATCAAGAAAAGACGATTTGTGAAAATATAATAACAAAATAAATCTAAATTAGGAGGTAGAATAAAAAGGACACTAATTTGAAAAGTAAAAATCTATTATGTTCCAGTCAACAACAGTATGGACAAGAGGAAGCTTGAGAAAAAAGCAGATAAAGTTTTGTTATTTTTCTTGCATTTTTCCTTTGTCTTAGGCACTCTATCTTCTTCTCAATGTTGCTTAATTCAAGAAAAATGTAAGATCTTTGCTAATTTATTTTGATATCCTACTTTTATTTGTGTTTTCCAGTGGAACAATAGGAGGCAATTGATGTTTAGGGCCGGCCCTTGGCCCAGGGCGACCTGGGCAACAGCCCAAGGCCCAATTCAATAAGGGGCACCAGGCCAGCCCATTTGTATTGTTCTTTTTATCTAATTTTTATTTTATTTCAAAAATAGAAAAAGAAAAAGAATTAAAACCAACCCAATTTAAGGGCCACCCACATTTATTGCAAAAAACCTCTCTCCAATATTAAAAGTAATTAATATGGTCTTCTTACTTTTTCTCTTCCCTATAACATTTTTCTGCTCACACTAGCCACTACTCTCTCTCTCTCTCCTTAATTATATGTTATATATTATTGTATTATTTTAAGTATCCTATTTATCTTATTTACTTTTGAAATAAAACTATTTATAAGTTTAGATAGCAATTTTTTATAAGTTAAAAAAAACTATTAAAAATTACATTATTTTTTGATAGCAATTATAATTTTTTTATAGTTTAGATTTGCTTCAATAATTAAAAATTGTTCAATGAAGCTTAAAGTTTATTTAATGTATATTTAAACATATTTAGTAATATTTAATGAAAACAGACATTATCTTTTATGGGTGCAATGATTTTCTATTGGCTCTGCTTGTAGTTGTTAGCTTTTTTTATGAGGTTGTATTTTATTTTTTTAGATTATATTACTCTATTATTTAATTTTTTTTTTTTTAAAAAGGATTATGAATTCTATCAGTTTTTTGTTAAATCATACTAGGGCATTATTTTCGTGCTTGGCCCAGGGACTCATAATGTTCAGGACCAGCTCTGCTGATGTTAGGTAGTATATTGTAGTGGTTTGTTAAGTATTAATGTGGTAGTTGACAAGTGTGTATTGGGTAATGAATTAAATGTGGTTAGTGAACTAATAATATAAGCATTGTACATAGTATGTATGTTATTTCAGCTAAAATAAAACTGAAATTATTTTAGTCTCCAAAACAAATTTTGAATTTAACTGTATGGTATAAGAACAAGTTAGATATGTTGTAAAAAAAAACAAGTGACAACAAGCTTTTTCCAAAGTAGAACGAACGCCAACAAACATTCATCGAACAAGATAGAAATAAAAGTATGTTATTTCCGTTAAAATATAATTGAAATTATTTTAGTTCCGAAAAAAAAAATTGAATTTAATTGTTTGTATAACAAATTAGATATGTTGTTAAAAAAAAAAAGTGAAAACGAGATTTTTTCTAAAGTAGAACAAAAGCCAACAAACATTGCTCACACTCATAAAAGTTGACACAATACATAATAACTTATATAGACAATGCATAAAAACTTAAGTTATAAAATGCTTAACACTCCAAACAACATAAAAAATCATTTGAGACCCAGTTCTTATTTAAGCACGGCAAGAAGTCCCTGGTGGGCTTGCAATTTTCTTCTGCCATGGTTGAAGTTTCCTCCTTTTATCATTTCTCTCTATGTCTTCCATGACTCTATAAGAACTATCTTTTCTAAAAATCTTTTTGTTTCTTCAAATGAATTTCTTTAACCTGAACAATCTCGGCCAACATATGCTCAACATATGAACTGGTGCTCCCTCCTACAGTTGGGTTTCTATTTCTCTTCCTTGCCTTTGCTGCTTTTTACCCAATTGGTTGGCGCACATATATGTTCGTACCATCGCCACTAGGCTCAACATCTTGCCCAGAGCCAATAGTGTGATCTCCAGTATTAGATATTCTAGCTTTCTTTCCTCCTTGAGATGTCTGAGATTCTCCACCAAATTTGACATTATTTTTCAAAACCTCCCAATAATAAAGTCATTTAAAGCCTGTTTTCCTTTTTCCTTCGCTATTCCACTCCATTAAAGCATTCTACAAAACAATTACACCAATTTTACCACTTCTTTGATCAACCCGAAACATATTTATTGATTCATTAAATTTGAGGCAATCTCCATGGAAAACATAAAAACGAGATTTTGTTGACTCCATAGTTCTCTGAATAAGGTTTCGTGCTTGACCAACTTCATTATAGTACTGTGTATTCGCCTCCAAAAACCTTCAGACGATTGTTGAGCGCCAATGACCAGATCACTTGGGATGGTACAAAAAGTTCGACATAGTAAAACATCCTCTTCATGTGTCCACGGCATAGTTGTTGCTTTACCGCATCTTTTAGGCTCAACTTTTTTCATTTTTCTGAATTTGTATAAAGGCAAATGTTGTCATGTCCTTCGACCCCTGAGATCATGCAAGCTCTTGGGACTTCAATGGGGCTACTAGATAATTCAGTCGGCATGAAATTTTCTTGTTGATAAGGCATCCCAAATGCATTCGGAATGCCATATTGGGGCGGCATTTGTCTACATATACTGAGATTGATTCATGTTCACTAAATTTGGTGATTGGGTAAAACTAAAAGAAGGATGCTTTGAAGTGTGTAGAAATTGGATAAAAAGGCATTGTTGTGGGTAATTGAAAGGAAAAGTTTAAAATTGGGGTTGTAGTTGGATTTTAGGAAATTAAGTAAATAAAAATTCATATATAACGTTAATTTACGAAAGACGAACTATCATCCTCTGATGACTTCAATTTGGGTTGGATTTGTATGGATTTTTATCCATTACAGTTTGAGAGATATAGAAAATGTGACTTTTCTATATTGTTTCTTGATGAAAGATGTAATAGTATATGGCTATAATAGAAAAAACATTCTCATTTATAGACGAGAATTTCCATTGCCAATTCATATTTGTTCAACACGAAAATCAAAGCATCCAAAAAAAAAAATGGTTGATGGATGACAATACACCTGCAACTTTCATTTTTTGACCATCACTATTCAAAGCATCTGACAAAAAAAGAAATGATAACAACTCAAATCTAATTTATGGAGGACAATCAAGTTGCGGACAAAAAATGAAATGATTGATGGATGGCAATTCACTGATGCCTGCGACATTGCTTTTGTTTTTTCTAACATCACTTTTCAACTTTAATAAAATAAAGAGTGTAGATTTGATTAGAAGAACAATTGAAGTTTATAACTCAGTAATTTAAAATTATAAAGTAATAAGTAATGTCATAAAATTGTTAATTGATATTTTTTGTTATTTGGTTATATTCTTGACATAATATTTTAGTAATTATGTATAGAATTAGTTTTTTTATTAAATTATTATAAAAATTAATTCCTAATATAAAAAACAAGAAAAAAAATGAAAGAAGAAAGATACGTACATATTTTTATTTAATTTTTGCACTAATATTTTTATTCACATTTCTTATATAAAGTATATTTTAATTTATTTATTCATTAAATGTTTAATATATTTGCATATAATATTAAAAAATTATTATTTTAATAATTATTTTCTTTATTTTTTATAATTTATTAGTGTTCGTTCTTGTTTGTTAGTGTTCGTTCTTGTTCAAATGTATATAGTTTTCAATTGTTATTTTTCGACAACAATTGAAACTCGTTCTTATTTCAATTAACTGCTTTTGTTTTTTTTTTTCGGGTTGTCAAGAACTCTATTTTTTCAAACCAAACAACCTCGTTCTACTTCTTTATTTTACGAGCAAAGCTTGTTGAAGTTTGTTCTTGTTCAAAAATACTTCAGTTTTAATTATTTTTTTCAACAAAGTCAATAATTGAAACTCGTTGTTATTTCAAGTAATCACTTTCGGGTTTTTTTTTCGGCATGTCAATTAACTCCAATTTTTTTTGTTTAAATCAATCAACCTCGTTTTACTTCCTTCTTTCATGAGGAAAGATTGTTAGTGTTTCTTCTTGTTCAAAAATAGGTAGTTTTCATTTGTTATTTTCCGACAACAACTGCAACTCATTCTTATTTCAATTAATTACTTTTATTTTTTGTTCGGGATGTCAAGTAACTCCATTTCTTTTAAACCAAAGAACCTCGATTTCCTTATTTCTTGCAAAGTTTGTTAGTGTTCGTTCTTGTTCGAAAATACCTCATTTTCAATTGTTATTTTTCGACAATAATTGCAACTCGTTCTTATTTTTATTAATTGTTTTCGTTTTTCTTTTTGGGTTATCAAGAAATCCATTTTTTTTAAACCAAACAACCTCGTTTTACTTCTTTCTTTTAAGAGCAAAGATTGTTGGAGTTCATTCTTCTTCGAAAATACCTCATTTTTAATTGTTCTTTTCAAAAGCAATTGAAANACTCTATTTTATTTAAACCAAACAACCTCGATTTACTCCTTTCTTTTACTAGAAAATTTTGTTAGTGTTTGTTCTTGTTTGAAAATACCTTATTTTCAATTGTTATTTTTCGACAACAGTTGCAACTCATTCTTATTTCAATTAGTTGCTTTCGTCTTTCTTTTTAGGTCGTCAAGAACTCCATTTTTTCCAACAAACAACCTCATTTTACTTCTTTTTTTACAAGCAAAGATTGTTGGAGTTCGTTCTTCTTCGAAAATACCTCGTTTTTAATTATTATTTTTTTGACAGCAATCGAAACTCGTTCTTATTTCAACTAATCATTTTCAATTTTTTTTTTCGGCTTTCCAATGAACTCAATTTTTTTTTTAAACTACACAACCTCGTTTTACTTCCTTCTTTTACGAGCAAAGATTGTTAGTGTTCCTTCTTGTTACAAAATACTTAATATTCAATTGTTATTTTTCGACAACAACTGCAACTCATTCTTATTTCCGGTAATTGCTTTTGTGCCGGGTTGTCAAGTAACTCCATTTCTTTTAATCAAAACAACCTCGATTTTCTACTTTTTTTACTAGAAAAGGTTGTTAGTGTTTGTTCTTGTTCGAAAATACCTCATTTTCAATTGTTATCTTTCAACAACAATTGCAACTCGTTCTTATTTTAATTAATTACGAGTGGAGTAGGAGGAGTGATGAGTTGTCCTTATAACCTGGCCCTTTGGATAGCCTTTGACTCGAGGCCGATTCACCATGAATCACCCTCGGAGAGAGACGGGTCACCCTTCCAGCCATCGGGGTAGGGCAGACCCTCTTGAATCATGTCTTTGTCAAATATCCCCGAGAAGTGGTCCGAGGACAACAACCTCCGAAGGGTTAGGACGAGGGGAGCTGGTCTCACTAGCTTTTGTCACCTTCTTGCGGGCGAACTTCTTCAGGTAAGAATCTGCACAAGCAATAAGATTAGACGACTTGAAATATGGTTAGAGAGACCTATATTTTACGTGTCGATAACAAATAAAAGAACAAGGTAAAAATACCCTACCTAGGTCGTCAACAAATGGGGTCTCCTCACGAGTTAAACCACATTGACCACCTAGGGTCGAATCTAGAGATATTCAACGTGCACTCAAGGGCGTCTTATTCAAAGTCACAACCAGATCGGCAAAATTACTAGTCTACGTTTATTTTCCTGAGAGACTTTTGAGGTCACTCAGGTGTTTGGTAAAATAATAGTAACCAGAGAGAGGTCACACAAAAAAGAGTTTAGTTTTCCAGTCAGATACATTGGACGGAAGGTCCTTGAAAAATTTGTCCTCATTACGAGAGCTCAAACTGTGGGCGCCTTTATTAAATTTATAACCAAAACAATAAAAGAAAAGCTCTTGAGAAAACTCACGAATCCTAATCTTAAAAAGTATGATAAAAGAGGCCAGAAGATGTAGGACGTTTGGAGCGATCTGATTAAGTGGAATGCCATATAAATTGCTATGGGACAACAACTGATGGTGAAGAGGAAAACGAACACCAAGCAAAACTTGGTCGACAAATAAATAATAAAAATCCCTCGGAGGATTTTCATATGACTCATGGGCTTCGGGAGATCGCAGATTCCAATCTGATGGAAATATACAAAGCGACCTACGACTAAGCGCATATACTTGTTTCTCTTAACTCAGTAAGCGCACTTGTCGTGACCTATGAATAAAATAATATCGAGAACTATTTTCCTCGACCCAACATATACAATGACCTAAAATGAGTCGACTTGATGTACAATGATTGTTACGCAGCGGCCTAGTGTGCATTGACTCATGGTAAATTGTACAAAGACCTATCAATGTATGGCTTAAAACTATAGCAAATTGGCTACTAGCGGCTACGTAAGACCAAAAGAGAAACAAAAAAAGTATTCACAAACCATGTACACTCAGATCAAAAAGAAAATGCAAGAATAAAACTAAGAACATTATGAAGAACATCAAGAAATTCAACAGAAAAACATAATATTAAATACTTACTCATGATAACTTGCTAGGATGCGTATTTATGAAAAAGATTGATCGATAGAACACGCGAAGATTTCTTGGAGTCACAAGAACAATTGAGAGAGTTTAAAAGATAGACTTCGGGAAACAGTAAAAAATTTTAACTAGAAAGGATGGCTTTATTTATACTCGGTTTGGAGAGATATAGACCCTTAGATCATGAGCAGATCTAGGGCTCAGATTGTGCACGAACTACTATGGCACAAAATGCGAAGCGACAAAAACGTCATTTCACTTCTGCCCCTCTAACGATTGGCGTGTCAGAACCTCTGACTGTTGACTACTCCATAGCTCGAGATTGCAATTGAGTATTTTTTTTGTTTTTTTTTTTTTTTTTGGGACTGGATGATATAGTTATATATGAAAACCCGAATAAATACCCATATATGTTTAGGCCGAACAACTAAACCGCCATCAAATACCCCATCTTATTCAGAGTAGGCTTAGGTCGAGACGCGACCTAAAGGGCCAAGAGCAAGCCGAGGTTGACTATGAAGACGAGCTATGGAAATTAAGGCTATCTAAGTACCCATTAAACCTAATACCCTAGAATATTATGTCACGGGAGTGACATGACAATACCAGAGTGACTTAATGAGCTACCACTTGAGTAGGAACGACTTATGGAAAGATGAAATGACAACTTGAACTATACAACAATTTAGTTAAACTAATCTATAATAGATAAGAAGGAATTTAATGATGACTTAAATGTGATTCAGATTAAGATAAGAACTGACCTCGAGTAGCCGGGCAGGCTGACCGCGGGCAAGTCGGGCAGGTATTCCCCTATAAAAGTGGAGTGGGGTATAACTGCAAATCTTCTTCTATACTCTATATGCATTCAATACTCTACTTACATATCACATAGCTTTCATCTTCTGAGTACTTACTTAAGGATTAGAGTGCCCGACACTTTTTGCAGGCATTAGATGTTCAGAGACGATCGGAGCTCTCGTTTGTCGGTTCAGTCTCGACTTGGATCCCCGACATATCAAAAGGTAAATTAGTAATTTTGCAAAATAAAAAATTGAATAATTTTCGGAACTATAGAATATGTGTTACACGCGCCGTTGAGTTGGACGGAAGGGGAAAGAAACCATGCACCGGTTATTTAAATATAAGGGGGTTTAGCCAATTTCTTAAAACACAATAGGAAAACACACATATTTTGTTGAACACAGAGGAGGTCGATATATTTTACCCGATGAAAATATTTGTAATTTTGTATTAGGATAACTAGTACGTGGTCCATGCGATGCACAAGGAAACAATATTACGATTGTGTCATAAGTTGAATATATAAATATATTAATTATAATTCACCTATTGTTTTCAAAATAGGACCGGACCGAATAGATCGGGAATCGGTTTATTGACCACTCCGATTGACTTAAATAAAATGTTTGCTTGCGAACTGGTCAACACCAGTCGGTCGAATTTGTAAGAACAGTACGATTTTTAAAATATATTGTTACCTATTTTTATCATCGAATTTGAAAGTTTGGCCACTACTTATGCATCAAAATTTTTATTTATGTGATAAGATTTATTATTCCAAAATTCTATATATTTATGTTAATAATGATATTGGTCATAGGTTGTTGATAAGGTTTTTTTCCAAAAAAATATTAAAGAAAAAATACAGGTACATCCTATACAATTTTCAATTTTAAACCGAAATGTCCTTTCTAAAAAATATTGATACCTATTAATAAGATTGTATAATTTTAAATTAATATGTACATTATTTTTGCATCAAATTTTAATTTCTGTAATGTTTAGTTATTATCACAAAATTCAAGAAAATTTATTTTGATATTGTTAGCGGCTCAAATTAATCTATATGTTGAAAAGGTTTGTTTACAAACATTTTAAAGATACCAATCTTGTTCAACTTCTATATTTTTTTTAAAACTTTAAAGAGATGCATTCATATTGAAAAATAAAAAATAAAAAATAGGTAAAATTAGAGCATGAATCTTTTTTAAATAACTACAAAATTCGTAAAATATGGAATGTATTTAATTTCATATTAATCAAAACAAAATACAAAAATATTTTTAAAATAATTAATACACCATTTTCAAATGGGTATGAAAAAAAAATTCCCTGGATATTTATAGATTTGGAGCACAAATCTTTTCAAAATTTATCTACATAATATGTAAAATATGATGAGATCTTTTTTAAATTGATCTAAATATTAAAGAATGGATTGAATTTGATTCCATATTAACTAAAATAAAATACAAAAATATTTTTGAAATAATTAAAATGGTGTTTTGAAGTCGGTTTGAAAAAAAAAATTGAATGAATATTTGAATATATAGAGCACGTAATAGTTCTAAATATCTCACATGTAAAATATGAAATGTAGTTGAGTACATATTAAACAAAATAAATCTACCAAAAATAATTAAAAAGGCTTTAGTAAATCGATTTGAAAAAAAATAGACATATTTTCCTTAAGGGCAAGTCAACAAATTTGACTCAAAAATTAATTACATTTTCCAAAAATGAATTTTTCATCAACCTGTTTCAATTAATAATAATAATAATAATAATAATAATAATAATAATAATAATAATAATAATAATAACAACAATAATAATATAGATTTTTAAATTTAAAGATGGGAAGGCCCATTTTCTATTGGAAGACTGATTGTAGACCACGAGCAGATGACAAGATGAAAAGACCAAAAGAAGACACGTGGGGAAGAGAAATATATGAATATTGATTGCATATTTAAATTAAATCAGTTTTTTATCTATCTGGTACTTTTGCAATTAAGAACGTCATTTCTTGTATATTTGCTAATACTTACAATTAGATTTCCATTATGTAATACAAAATAATATATTTTGTATAAGGTGCAATTTTCTCAAAATAAAGATCAACCAAAGCCCATTATTATCCGGCCCAACCCAACTATTGTCAACGGACACTGATTTTTCAGTTCTTTTGTTTTCTCGCGAGTTGAAATACTTGAAGGCAGTCCCCGATCCGTCAGCTCTCCATTTAGCTCAAGAACCCTAACGCAGGGTTTTGAATCTGTATTCTTCATCGAAGGTAATCTTTTAGCAATTTCATCTACCTGATATCCATAGACTAATTCTGCTTTTTTTTTTTTTTTTTTTCAATTTGGACGCTACAATATCGTTTTCTAATCTGACTTCGTGTGTTTTAGTTTGTTAATTTGCTCAATGGAAGCGTTTGTTCACTGTTTCTCACAGATACTAGCTTTGATTTTGCGGGTTTTTTATGTCAATATTTTTAAATTCGTTTTGTTATGGTATATGGTTGATTTTTGTTGCGATTTTCGTTTGGGTTTGCACTTATGCAATTCCAATTTTGATTATTGAGGTTAGTGAAGCTAAAAAAAAATTGTGGATTTGGTTTTGCACTCGTGCAATTCCAAGTTTGATTATTGAGGTTAGTGAAGCTCAAAAAAATTCTGGATTTGGTTTTGCACTTGTGCAATTCCAAATTTGATTATTGAGGTTAGTGAAGCTCAAAAAAATTTTGGATTTGGTTTTGCACTTGTGCAATTCCAAATTTGATTATTGAGATTAGTGAAGCTCAAAGAAGTTGTGGATTTGGTTCACTGAAGTTTCTTCTTGGCTGATGAGAATGTGTTGAAATGTTGTGTAGCATGAGAATATTGTAGAACAATAGTTTTCCTCTTCCGGTTTTCAATGACGGTGATGAAAGCAACTGTCTGGTTGTATGTAATTGAATGCGAATTTTTTGGTGTTTCCAATTGAAGTAGCTGGTTATCTAATGTATGGATGTGAAGAGGGTTTTCCTATCCTGTAAATTAGAATTAGCAGTATGGATATATTTTGGTCATTTGATTAACACAGATTCTTGTATGAAGCGGCCTTACCGTTAAGCTGGTCGACCTATCATACTTTTCTACCAAATATGCATACTTATGCTACGAAATGTCATACTTTAGTTTATTTTGTTTTTAGAGTATAGCATTCCAGCTTGAAAGTGAGTATGCAATACTTATTGAAAAAGTATGGTTACCTAACCGTTAGACCAATATATTAACCTTTCCGTGCAACCGTCCTTTGGAACCATGATTCAGTTTATGTAACCTCCCAAGTTCGTTTTCTGTACACTTTGAACAACACTTGTGCTCATCATTGCAACGCAAAGTAAAACGAGTTTCATTCGTTACTGTTACTGCATGTCAAAAGCTTCAGTCTCTATTAATACGTATGCAGGCAAAACAATGCAAGTCGAAAGTGCTTTATCCGTCGTCGGCCCAAAGCCGACCGACCTGTCGACACCGGGCCCCACCACCAGCCTCGGACCAAACGGCAAACAGCGCACGTCCAGCCTGGAGGCCCCCATCATGCTTCTCGCCGGCCACCAGAGCGCGATCTACTCCATGAAATTCAACCCCACTGGCACCGTAATCGCTTCCGGGTCCCACGACCGCGACATCTTCCTCTGGCACACGCACGGCGACTGCAAGAACTTCGCCGTCCTCCGCGGCCACAAGAACGCTGTCCTCGACGTCCAGTGGAGCCCCGACGGCTCTCAGCTGATCTCCGCCAGCCCCGACAAGACCCTCCGTGCCTGGGACGTCGAGTCCGCGAAGCAGGTCAAGAAGATGGTGGGCCACCTCTCCACCGTCAACTCGTGCTGCCCTGCCCGCCGTGGCCCGCCGCTCGTGATCAGCGGCTCCGACGACGGGACAGCCAAGCTCTGGGACATGAGGCAGCGGGGCCCGGTCCAGAGCTTCCCGGACAAGTACCAGATCACGGCCGTCAGCTTCTCGGACGCGTCGGACAAGTTCTACACGGGAGGAATCGAGAACGACGTCAAGGTGTGGGATTTACGGAGGGCCGAGCCCGTGATGACTCTGCAGGGGCATCGTGACATGATGACGGGCATGCAGCTGAGCCCTGACGGGTCGTACCTGCTGACCAACAGCATGGACTGCACGCTTCGCGTGTGGGACATGCGGCCGTACGCGCCGCAGAACAGGTGCGTGAAGGTTTTCGAAGGGCACCAGCACAACTTTGAGAAGAATCTGCTGAGGTGCGCGTGGTCGCCCGACGGGAGTAAGGTGACGGCGGGCAGCAGCGACTGCATGGTGTACGTGTGGGACACGACCTCGCGCCGCGTGCTGTACAAGCTCCCGGGGCATACGGGGTCGGTCAACGAGTGCGCGTTTCATCCTCGGGAGCCGATTATCGGGTCGTGCGGCAGTGACAAGCAGATTTATCTTGGTGAGATTTGAAGGGGCTTTTGTGGATGTGAGAGTTTGTTTTGAAAGTTGTAGTGAGAGTCTTTTAGGTGTCTTTTGTGTGGTATTGATTAATGAATGAAGTTGTTTAGAATGTTTTGTGGAGATTGTGGATGCGAGAAAACCTTCGTCATTTTGTTTCGGGCAGCGGGCTTTGGTTGGTTATTGGTGTGGACCTGTTGTTATAAGATAAGAGGCGATATTAGTTGTAAGGTTCTTGTTATTTCATTGGAGTTGCATTTTATAATGTCATGATGAAGGGCTGCAAACGGGTGTGGTTGCTAGAGTCAAAGCTCGAACTCATGTTGAACTTGGAGCAAGGCTCGAACTCGTATTGAAGTAGAGAACTTTGAACTTGAACTTGAGCCTGTATTGTTACAAGTCTCTCTCTCNGCTAAACTCATTAAGGCTAATGCCTGGCTTCGAGTAATAAGCAATGATCTGTAAAGTGTCACTAGTGTGTATCCCGTGCATCATTAAATTAACAATATTATAAATAGACATCGAGTTTGAGTCACTCAATAGCGAAAGTGGAAACTACTATTGATCCTATTTAAAAAGAGAAAGAAAAAAAATAATTATAAATTAGAGAGAAGGATAAACAATACTTAATAATTATAAATTAAAGATTAGGGGTCAAACAATGTAAAACTATTTTGTATAAGAGAATATGAAATTTACATTATTTTGTATAAGAGAATACAAAATTTGTATGTTTAATATTAAAAACACCTAAAATATTATATTAGTATATGTAAAAGTATTCAAATTTTTCTATATTATTTTTGAAAGATGTGAAGTCACCTACAACTTTTCTAAACAATTTTAGAAGGAAAACATGTCTAAAAACATTTGAATTTAACATGGTGTAAAAAAGATTTTTCTAGACTATTTTGTAAAGAAAAACATGTCTACAGATATTTAAATTTAACATCAATTATGTATATGTATGTATGTATATATATATGTATATATAGACGAATATGTAAAAAAATGTCTAAACAATTTGTTTAAAATATCTAAAATATTATAAGCATAATTTAAAAAAGACATTATGTCAGATGATACCGAATTTATGGCGTTACTTCCCTCTAGAAAATTTGACTACACACCATGATGTATTGTTAGCTTATATTTGTAAAAATATTAGTAATTAGACCGATGAAAATTAGCTTCTTAAAGTAGATAATGGATGAATTGGTTTTTATTTTATTTTATATTTTTAAATCATAAGATATGAGATTTTTTAAATTTGGGGATTTTGTAACAGATCTAGATTTATGCTATCAGATTTTATAACGCGATTTTCAATACCAAAAAAAGGAAAAAGGAAAACAGATTCTAACATAATTAATCTGTCGATTTTGTTGCCTTATTAATATTGTCCAACAATTACTATATATAAAATACATTTAATGTATTTGGCAGGAAATATTTCTAAAATTGTAAAAAAGTTATTCTTTTTATATAATGATAGATGCTAAAATGTAATGACATTAAATGTATGTACATTGCATTGAGTAAAATTAATTAACTCTATCAATCATGTTTAATAAGTACTTCATAGCTTTAAAGTTTGTGGAAGTCCCATAAAAATAAGCACATTTATACCATAAAATAAATATTTGTAGAAAAATTAATAATTTCCCAGTAAGTATATTGAAATACAACCGATAGGTGATCAATACCAAAAGGGAATCGAGGCCCATACCAAGGAAAATGAAGCTTTGAAGTCTCAGGTGGCCGAGCTTACTGACAAAATTGTCGAGCAAGAAAAGATGCCCGCCTCGGAGTCCCTAGCACTCACCTATCATTAGCTTCGGGATAAGTATCAACTGGATTCTTCAGCGCCTTCTGCATAAGATCCTAACCCTCGACGATCTTCGTGAGATCATGCTCATGAAGGTTACCTAGGATGAGCTCGACGACATTTTCGAGAATATGGTGATGTCAGTCGACCCTGATGAGACTGTTGTCGTCCGAGCGAAGAGGGGTTGGGCCGCTGATGCCGAGGTGAGGATCGAGGACGTCACCCCGGAGCGTGAAAAAAGAGGTGATTGCGGTTGAAATCGATGATGAGGGCGTCCAGCAGGAGGGTGAGACCGATTTGGTTTCTGTTGCGGATCCGATGATCGGACCCAATGTTGAGTCAGCTCCCAATTCTGTCGAAATTCCTGAATCGACAACCGATGTTACAAATCTTGAGGTATCTAACTTATTTGAGACTATGATTTTGCTAAGAAATTTTAAGATTTGCTGCGATTTCAAAAGAAAAAACCACGTACGAAATTTTACTACAAATCGCACCTCTAAATTTAAGATTTCATAGTATTCCTTCAAATATGAAAATTATAAAAAGTCTCAAGTCTCAAAAAGTCACTCGAAATCCACCTTAAGAAGAGTACTTGGAAATCATAAGTCTGAAAGGTAGGATTTGGAATGAAATTTCATATATGATTGTTGTTTATGAAATCTTAAAAATCATATAAAGTTCTAACAATTACAGTGTCAGAATCTCTCAATTGCTGACCCGAAACCGGCCCGGCTATATTTAAAGGTCGGTTCAAATGAACCGTCCCGACCCGCATGGCCAAGGTTCCGATTCAACGAAACGGCAAAATCCGGGCAGGTTGCGAGCTGGTTCGGGGCCAGTTCGGTGCGGGGTCGGCCCGCCACCTGTACACCAGTGGAACTTCCGGATTCAGTATTATAGATTTTCTTGAAATATAAAAACGAAGGTCACAAATAATTTGATTTTTAATATCTTACACGTCTGCCCCCGAAGTTGTGAACCTGGACTTCTCCATACACATAATACATAGCTTCATTTTATAACGTTGACTTCTTCCACCTATGACTACTCCCTACGACGTCGTATTCGCAGCCCCCTGAAAAATGCATCGTTTTTCCAAAGGATAAATATAAAGAAACACAAGGAGCTCCTGCACTGTATACACTATACAGCTGAGCGAGTTTGTGAGGTGGATAGGGCCGCAAATTAATGGCGTCGCTAGTGAACAAGCCCTTCACTTCCATGTGTACGGCCAACAAGTCGGAGCTCTTGTTTCCGGAATTTCGCTCTGGCAGGCGCTGCCGTATTCCATCCGGGAGGACCGGTAATATTATCAGAATTGCTAGCAGGGGTGGCGTCGGTCGGAAATTTCGCGGTAGTGACTGCGGGGTTGTGTGTAAAGCGGCGTCTCTTGAGACGGAGACGGAGATTGAGGGTTTCAACATCGCCGAGGATGTTACTCAGGTCGAGGCTTTAGTCTTATCTCTGTCCCAATTATGTGTTCTTTCTTAATGATTATTTGGATAGGAACAGGTGAGCATAGATTAAAAAGTCTTTTAACTTTTGGAGTAGAGTCCTGCATCGAGTGTTTATTTTATTTATTTATTTGTTTTTTTGGGAAATGGTGTGGTGATCATAAAGTTCTGCAGAGAGGACTGATTAAGGTTGTAAAGGAAAACGAACAATACCATGTCTGTTTCAACCACCTTCATGGAACTATTTCATTATTGAAATGCTCGTATTATGTATAAGATAATTGTGAAAGATGGTCATGGGTTCACAATGGTCAGTGTCATCTTTTGTGTATTCACCATTTTTAGTTTATTTTCTTGAATTGACGGAGTGAATAGAAAATATAGCGAGGATTGGTGTGTGTTGGAATTGAAGAGAAAAATTATGCATCTTGACTGATACACTACTGTATAGTTCGACTGTACTCCAATTTATTGGGTTTGTCTATGCGGCAGATATGTATATGATTCAGGATAAGATAGCAAAAATCAAATAGTCCATTATTTGTCACTATATATCTTGGTGCATCAGCTTTATTTAATGATTTGGTTTGTAATGTTTCTTTT